AACTGACAGGAGAGCAGAAAAGAGCAAAGCTGCATGTCATGAAACCAGGAAAGCTGCAGCTCAGAGACAAAATTCTGTCCAGTAGAAAGAAGCCAGTTTGCATGTCCTGGCTGGTTCTTTCATGTTTTTCTCACCGTTTGTCTGCCTTCACGTGATGCTGCTTGACATCCTTCAGGTAGCGTCCCATGCAATACTCTAAGGTGTTGAGGAAGGTGCTGTCCTTGTCAATCAGCTGGGCAGCCCTGGGCTGACTGCTCAGCCAGTCCATCACTGACTCCAGTTGCTCCTGCTGGATTTGCTGCAGAAAAATACCACCAGAGAAAAGGAGTCAACCACACACCAGAGCTCTCTCCCAGACTCTAGTTTCCATAGGTTACAAAAATGGTGCACTGTGCTTACCATCTGATCTGTGAAGATCTGCATATCTGCAGGTGCTCCCTGCAAGGGAAAATGAAAAAAAAAAAAAAGAGAACCAGCTCAGGTTATTGTTGAGCTTGGCTGGGCAGGACAAGTCTGGCCAGCACAGCACAGTGGGCACCTCTTACCTTTTCTGTTAGATTGTAGATGACCCTTGTCAAAGCCTCAGCAATGATCTGAGCGTTTCTGGTCAGTGCTTTAGTGTCTATTCGTGCCCTAAAGCAAAAGAGGGGATTATGGACTTGCTAGTGGCACCAGCTTTCTCTAGAAACACCCTTTTCACTGCATCAGGCATCAGCCTGAACCCAGAGCCCAACTCCCAATGTCTGCCACCTGTGCCCTGACCATCAGAACAGCACATGGTTGCTCTGTTCAGCAGTTGTGAGGCCAGTTTGGGTTTCTGGGCTGGATTAAAAGCCAGGCCCTCACCTCCTGTCCATGATGCTGTTGCGCAGGCTGTCCCGGTGGCTCTCCAGGTGGGAGATGGTGAATGCCGGCAGGCGCCGGATCGCGAAGCGCTCGTGCTCCCACGCCAGCATGTCCTCAGCCAGGTTGATCTTCTTGTGCACCATGGAAAACTTCACCTCTGGGAACTGGCTGGCAACAACCTGAGGACAAGGGCAGGCCATTTAGGGGTGCTGCCCACTGCAGAGTGCCACCCTGCACTGCCCTGTCTGCCTACACTCACTTCTGTGTGTTCCAGAATGTAAGGTGCAGTTATTGACATTACTAAAGCTGGATTTTCAGGACAAAAAGAGCTGTTTTAATGTCTGTACAGGGGAGCATTTGGAGATCTAGTCTGCTTCATTTGAGACTGTGAATGAGGATTTGTCTGCACTTCAAATCAAGTGACCCTAAACAATACATGAATTATTTCAATAGCACACCCTTTCTTCACATCTTCCTTCCTCTCATGGAGAGCTGTATAGTAAGTCCCACGTTCCCATGAACCTAAAATGCTTTTCCTTACCGTCTCCAGTTCTCTCAGAAATGCATGCTGCAAGGTGCCCTCCTTGGGAGGCTTTGAGACATGAAGATGAAGGCTATTGCCTCTGCCCAGAGTGTCAAGGCAGAGAACAAATGCTACATTGTCCTGCAGTAGGCTGGAATCTGGAACAGAAAAATCCAAACCTTTATTGCTATGTCTGGTGCTGGGATTTCCACCCTCCAAAAAAAGCAAGGCTCACACAAGGAGGTCCTCACAGGAGAGTTGACAATTAATTATAGACATTTAACACAACTAGCCCCCTACTCACCAGTGTGGTCCAAATTGTCCTCCAGCCACCGCTTAGTTCCTTGATAATTAAACTTGCCACCTCCAGATGCAAAGAACAGCAAGTTATACCTGCCCATCAAAGAAGCCAGAAAAGGGTCAGCATGCTGCACTCCAAGAATTCCTGCACTCAGCCTTGGAGGTGTGGTGAAATCACAACCACTTGCACCTGACATCCAAGGCAAACTGTCCATTAGGAAACGCTTCCCACACGCCACATACTCAGGGAATGGGAAGAGAGACTAAAAGTGGGGAGCTCCCAGTGCTTGAGAATGGAATCTGCTTCCCACATCATCCCCTCCACTTGTCAGCTACACACATTTAACCCCAAACAGAGCAGTTCTTTACCCAGCATGGGTCCTTCTGTAGGTGTAGAGCCGAGAGAACAGCCTGGCCAGTTCCAGCAGCACTGAGATCCCACTGCCATTGGAGTCAGCCCCATGGGACAGCCACTGCAGGGTGAGGTGGGACAGACACAAGGTGACAAATCTACACTGACTCTCAGGTACCAGAACAGCTGCAAGACAGCACAGCACTGTGCTCCACTTGTAACTGCCCCACAGCGTTAAGGCCAAGAAAAGACACATGAGCAGAGGGAAAAAAGGACAGGAACAGAGCAGCAGGAAGGAAGAATACTCACTGGAGCCACTCCAAAGGAATCATAGTGGGCAACTATCACAACAGTGGGCAGGTCTTCTCCACCCAGCCCTGTCAGCCTTCCCTGCAGAAGAAAGAGAGCTGTGTCACTCCCCATCACCTCTTGTGTGTCTGTACAAGGACAGCTTGACTTCTACATTCCTGCTGAACCTGCCTTGGCCTCAGCTGTGAGTTGTTCAGCTACCTGGCTGAGATCCCCTCACCTGCCCTGTCAGACCCAATGTCTGATAAAGTCCCGATAAAAGAAGTCACCTCATCAATGCTGCCAGTTTGAATCCATACACAACTCACCTCCACACTGGGGATGAGCCAGTCATTGATAGCTTTGCTTTGAGCCCCACTGGTCACCATCTGGAAGCCATTGGCAGTTGCTGTGTGCAGCAGAACTGAAACAAAAACACCAAAAAAACCCCACAATGTACACCTGGGGAAGTTTCATCCCTTCCTCTTCCCTGCTAACTGAGCTTTGGAGAGACCAGCTTTAAATCATTTAAGCCCTCTCACTTGTCACTGGTGTTTATGCAATGACACAGAATCTTGGTGACTGTGCTTTTTCTTTCTGTCCCAAAATCCCAGTATTTTGGGCTGGTCAAAAACTTTTCCCCAGCAGTACTAAAATTAGTCATAAGCAGCAGGTCAATAAGACAGTCATATGATTTACACGGAAGCATCAAACTGACTTGTGGTCAGACAAAAAGCTTCAGTTTCTACCAACACACCACTTAACACTTTCAATGTTGTTTTTAACCTAGTTTTGATTTCTACCTTACTTGCAACAGCATGAAGCTGAGAACCTCCTGCAACTCTATGTCCAAATATAGTCAAGTAATGTTTTCTTATACTGTGCTTTTCTTCCATTGAATCTCTAAACACTTTGACAAAGACAGAATAAACACAAAGGCAACAGAAGCCTGGCTCATGGTGCAGATGACACAGCAGACTCCTCCCAGAGGTGGCAACAGGCCTGTCTTCCCCAAGACTTTTTCCTCCTTGTTAGAACTCACCTTCTGCAGCTGAGGCAGAACCCTGTGATGCAGAAGCAGCCCGTGTTTGTTCATAGATAGACAGCAGCTCCTCATCTTCCACTGCAAAGTAGACTGGCACAATGGTTTCCATAGCGAGCATTTCTGGTTCTATCTCCATGAATTGCTGAGGATTTAAGCGAGACACAAACTTAGCATCTGCTAAACACAAGAGGTGTCAAGAAAAAATTAACAACCAAAGCAGAGAGAGAAGTTTTAAAATTAGAATATGATTCGTTGTACATTCCAACAGAAGCTTCCAGCCCTGCAGCAACCAAGCTTTTCTCCAATATACCTCCCACGGGAAGAGAAAGAAAACTTTTTTGTTTACCCTCACGACATCCTGGGGGACAGAGGAGATGGATCGTGGCAGGATGATCACCACAGCCCCGGCTGACTGGCGCAGAGCCTTCTGGTACTGCTCGTAGGAGAAGTCCACCAGGCGCATCATGACACAGCGGCGGCTCAGCACGTCCGCTTCCACAGTGCGTGCCTCCGTGTTCAGCACCGCGCTCCTGGTGCCTGCCAGCAGGGAAAGCAAGAGGGCTGGTGAGGCACTGCACCCCATCCCCTCTGCTCCAGCCTGCCTCCTGCTCAGAACGCTCCTGGGGACACTCTGATGGGCTGCAGAGAGGCCAGAAGCTGCAGAAAGCTGAGTTCGCCTCTTCTGAGAAGGAGCAGAGGTCTGTGGGTTTTCCTGTGCAGCCACAATCTGCCAGACGCCCCTCATTCCACACAGCCTCACCTTCCAGTCTTCCTCCTCAGCACAACACACAGGCTGCCTGTCTGCTCACCTGCACCTAATACCTGCAGTCAGCAACACACCTGGAGACAGCCTGGCCTCTGCAGAGCCTCCCCCAGCTGTAGGATCAAGCTGTGCAGAAGCACCTGATGAAAGGACACCAGACTGCCCCATGGCACCCCAAGGACACCAGACTGCCCCCATGGCACCCCAAAGGCTGCTCTCACTCAGCCCCAAGGAAGGTTCTGTAGCTGGCTAAGTTACAGAAGAGCAGGCTGCTCGTGAGGGCTCGCCCTCTCCTACTCTCAGTGCCAGCAGATCAAATCCCCCACAAGGAAATGCAATCCCCTGGGAGCACAGCAGGCTGCAGGCCTGCCAGAAGCTCCTACACTTCCCAGGCAAGGGCCAAAAGGACATCTTGTGCAAATAGAGAGGGTCAAATCCACTTTAAAGTTTATAATTCAATTTCTTCCTCTGTAACTCTGCACCTCCACTGGAGATCTCATTGTTCTCCCCACACAGAGACAGATGAGGTGCTCCAGCCTCTGTCAAACAGGAGCATTGCTAAGAACTAGATTTAAACCTGGCTTAGCTTAACTCCAACATTAGTTTGGTCTCATCAAAAGTAACAGAAACACCTAAACAAGAAAAATCTACATTTCCCCTGCACAGTAACAGTGAGGGCCACACACCCAAAAACAAAGCTCAGGCACAATGGAAATTCTCCCCACAGACCTCTGACACTAAATAAATAAATATTAACGTCTGACATCTAAGCAGAGCAGACACAACAGTATTTTTCTGACATGTTGATTTTCTGTAGTTTCTCTACATAGAGAACAAGTACCTGTTACTTGGTATTTTTGGAAAAGAATACGAGAATCTGGAACAACAAATCAGCTCAGTTGGTCAGAGCATGGTGCTAATAACGCCAAGGTTATGGGTTTGATCCCTCTGTGGGTCATTTCCCTTGAGAGCTGGTGATTCTCGTGAGTCCCTTCCAACCCAGACTGCTCTGAAACACAGCTTTTATCCTGAAGGACATCTCAGAACACACAAGGAACAGGAACAGCAGCTACCCAAAGGGAGCAGGAAGGGACAAAGGAAACACACAGCCCACTGAGCTAAAAGGCTTCAGGAAAAGAAACAGCATAAAAAACGTTAATTGGAAGCATCTTAAAAAATAACACCTGGCTTTTCAAGAAGTCACAAAATTGTGAGCACTTGGCTAGAGGGGACACTCAGGCAAGCAAAGTCAAAGCCAGCTGACACCCCCATGCAAGGGCCTGCCTTGGAGCTACTGAGGCTGTCAAGAGAGCCCTCAAGATGTGGACACGTTCTGAGAAACTGTGAAGGAAGAACCCAGAAATAGTTTCATTTATTTAGAAGCCACCAGAAGCATGAAGTGTTTAAGGAGTAGACAGGCACAGCTGCATTTCATAACTTACATATTTGAACTTACTAAGATCTGAAAGAATGAGAGATGGTGTCTCATGGACAGCACAAATTAAACGTGAGGCTGTTCATTGTTAACTCTATAGCAAGGGTCACTCACAGACAGAGCACATGGCCTGGCCTGGAATAAAATCTCTACAGAAGGGCCAGAAACAACCCTTGATTCTGGGCTTGTCAGCACACAGGGGAGAAGGCTGAGGGTTGCAGCACCTCAAGGACTCGCAGAACAGGGTGTGTCTCTGACCCAAAGAAAGGTGTTGCACAATCAGCAAGCTGCAAGTAAGAGAACAGAGGAAGTAAAGGTCAGATGTAACACGGGAAGGACGGGCTCTGAAATGGAGCCACTGGAGCAACACACAGAGCTGAGGATGAAAAGCATGAATAGTGAAGAGGAATCAACCTGTCAATAAAGGAGTCAAAGGCAAAAGGACAAAAATGAGCTCACAACCGAGTTTACCAAACGCAGGAGGAATGCAGCTGGACCTCTCAAAACACAGAGCCCTCAGCCCACAGACAGGGGTCCTTGGCTACCTCTAGGTCACTACGATAGAGCTCTCAGCCCCTCTCCTGCTCGTGCTGAGCCTGGGCAGTGAAACTCAGCCAGACGGGACCCTCCTGCGGCCTCCCCTGCGCCAGGGCCTGGCCCCGGGCCCGGCTGCTGCTGCCGCCTCCCAGAGCCCCCCGAGCCCTCCCGCGGTCTTCCCTAGGCCGGGCCGCCCTCCATGAGCCGCCCCCGGCTTCACGGCCTACCCTGGGCTCCTCCCCGGGGTCGGGGCTCCCTTCCCACAGCCCCAGCACCTCTGAAGGAGCCGCTGCCGGCAGGACCGAGCCCGGCCGGGCCGTGCAGTTCCTCACCATAGGGCTGCCCGCCCAGCTCGTACTGCTGCATGCGGTAGACCGTGAACTCGTGCGCCGCCTCGGCGGCGGGCGGCGGCCCCAGGAGCAGGAGCACGGCGGGCACGAAGAGCAGGACGCTGAGCGGGAGGCACGAGGCCTTGAGCACCGACTCCAGCACCTCACTCGCCTCCTCCAGCATCGCCGCGGCCCCGGCCCGCACTGCGGCCTGCTCGGCACGCACGGCGCGCCCCGCGCCGCATGCCGGGAGCTGTAGTTCGCGCGCCGCCGCGAGGGGCGCTGGGAATTGTAGTCGCGACATCCCGTGCAGGCCGCGGTACCGCCCCCCCTCGGCCTGCAGGGGGCGCCCTCCCCGCGGCCTGGCGCTCCCGAGCGCCCCCCAGCGGGTGGGACGGGACGGGACGGGACGGGACGGGACGGGA